TATTAGTTAATTTTTAAATAATAATTGTTATTCGGTTCTACTAACATATCATTGTATCTTTTGAAATAGTTTTTTATCAGATGTTTGGACCATAGTTGAAAGAAGAGTAGTTTAGATAATTTAGGCTTGCATCAAGTAATAATAAAGAATATAAAGCAAATGTTTAAAGTTTGTGATGCAGCAAACTTCTTGTTCTGGCAACAGAAAATAAAAAGGCAATCCATGAGAAAAATATTCTTTCAAGTAAATTATTCTTTCCATGAGTAAATATTCTCATTCAGAACATATTATAGCTAGTCAGGTACCACCAATTAATTATATAAATATAATATATGTATTTTTATTAATTACATGACTAAACTTCATCAGCTTAGACTAAAAGTCATGACTTCTAGTGCTAAATATATATATCTCGAATACTACTTAGCTGGAGACAAATACAATAGTATACACTTTTGTAATTTGCTGAACTAAGAATATGAGTTTTATTCTATGCATACGAGGCAAGTATTTATTGGTCAAACAAAAACTTATACTATCTATAGAGTATAATTGCTGCCTCGCATCCACAATTTTGAGGACCTATTTCAAATAAGACTGTTAGGAAATAAATTAAAGCTTAATATTAGTTCTGCTATAAAATCTTTAATAGAAAAGATAAAATTAAAAGAAACAGAAGAGAAAGAAAATACCTTAGGGGGCTTTAGCAATGATTTCATAAAAGTAAAGAAAATCTGACACAATTTTATGATTGAGAAGTTGAGGCTAAAAGAATGCCGCTTAAGCTAGAAAATAGCATTGGCAAAATTATTGAATGCTAAATCAGGCTTAAAAACAATACAATCAACGGCTTGCATTGACTATAATATATGCACACATAAAATAAACAAAAATTTATACTATTCATAGAGCATGATTATGCAGCATAGAATAATTTTATATTTATTATATCTATGCATACATATAAATAAATATAAAATTATTATAAAGTAGATATTTGTAAATAAAAGATTTTTACGCTAATCTTATCTAACAAGTAATTCACAAAGAAAATTTGATAGGTAAATAAATAAATATAAATATTTTTATAAATTTTACTTTGCATGGGGGCTACTACCATGAGAAATAAAAAATCCAAAAATCCACAAAAAGCACAAAATTGGTAAACCTGAAATAGTTATAACTATATATATATAAATTTAAATATTTTTATTAATTTGGTTAAAATATAAGTTGATATTTGATTTATCTCGAAATAAATCTTGAACCTATTAAGCGTAATGATTTCGTACTTTACAATCACCATGCAGACTCCTACTGTTATAAAGAATATTTTTCATCTTGTTTAATAAAAAGTTCATAAAAAATAAAAACTATAAGCATGTTTTCTACTATTAAATAATTTTTTTTAAAAAAATCGCATTACGTTTGATAGAATGAATGCAATAAATATAAGTTCACCACCCTATTTCTAATAAATCTATCCAAACAAGATTTCAAATTTCAAATTTCCCACGTTATCGCAAGCATCAGCCCGATATCGATATATTCTCTCGCAATCATATGTTTATTCCAAAATATCAATATCGCGTATATACGAATGTTTCTGTTGTACTTGTCTGTCAAATGGTTTGGTAATGTAATATATTATATTGAACAAAGTTATTTATAAATTGTTAAACTTATATAAATCTATGAAACTTTCATTAAAAGATAATGCAACTTTTTTGTAAATGCCTCAACGTCGCTATAGAGGTAGACGATGATGGTATTCAGAATATTGGAAAAGCAGATTTGGGGTTATCTCCAGAAGATATTTCAGAGCCCATTTTTCAAGAGGTTGGGTAAATAATAAATAACTTCTAAAATTATTGTACATGTGCATTTATAAATATCACAAACGAAGGAATTTAGATTATCATTATAGTATATATTTTCATTTTATATATACACAAACATGTTCTATTATTGATATACAAAATATTTGTGTATGTATTGCACAATGATAAACATTTACTAGCTACACCAAGGTGACAAAAACAATGAACGCATTAATTAGTCAAATAATTATAGATATTTGGTAGATTAATATATTTGAAATATATAAAAATATACTTCAATAATTCTTTTTAACTATTAAATCTATTAATAACTTTTAGAAGTATTTGGATTTTATAAATTTTCAAATTGTATTTTGATAGCTATAAATATAGCTGATAAAATTTTAATTTTATAATATGTTATAAATTTTTTGATACAAAATAAAATCTGATTCTAAAGTCCATATCGGTGGATTCTAACTCGTGTTCTATATATATATATTCAATATATATTTAAATATGTATGCACTTGCAAAACAGTTAAAAGTTTTATTTGCATTTGATATTTCAGAAGCAAATATTTAGCATATTTGTAAGCCAGGCTTAAAATAAACTATGTCAGCTATGCAAATAAAAAATATACAATCATACTTTGCAACCAATACAATTTTCTACAGTATATAATGCATAATCAAAACATCATTTTGAAAGCAACGTTGTACATATTTTCAAAGCTTATTTAAGTTTTTAATCTTAAACAATTGGAGTCTGAAAAAGTAAACAATTTGTTTTGATTGAGTTTGGTTGAACAATGAACAATTTTGATGTTGTATACATAACATGAGCTTGTTAAATGAAACCTATGACAGTAGTTTCATTATCAAATATATCACATTAAAATGATTAATATATAATACATTTATTCAAATATTTTAATCATGATATCTTCTATATCTTGTTTTGTCAACTAGATGTATAGATGTATATATTTGTGAATATGTTATGGTATGCAAATTACAATCTTGTTTATCTTATACATATCTGCAATATTGTATTTATTATTAGTTATTTTAAACATGGAAACATACCATAAACATGCCTTATCAATATAAATGATTTCATTATTAATTACTATTGATTTTTCCTTTGCAGAAACTTGGAATTATTAAACCATTATCAATAGCAAAACAACAACCGTGCCTGTTACAATCAGAAAATTCTCAGGGATGGATTTTACATAAGTGTTTGAATTGCAATATGCACACTCATGCTATTCAAAAAGATTCAAATAGAACCATTGTCGTCAATTTAGGATTATTGGTATTATGATTTATATATTAGTTTGTTGTTTCATTTAATAATTAAAAATTTGTTACAGAGCGACACAGCTGAAATAAATTCACTTCGAAAAAGTGAAAAATTCTCACCTATTTTTAAAGTTGTGATTAATCATTCTAATGTTAGTGATGAAATACATGTTCCTACTATTAAATCAACAGGTAAATATAAGACACTATAATACAAAAAAATACTTTTATATGAAATGAAGTTTTAGTTTGGTTAGAATTTGTAAACAAATTTGTAAATGATTATTCTTTTGTGAGCATTTAGCATTTTAATTCCAAACTATATAAAGTTTGGTATCACCTCCTCTATCACAAATAAGAGAAGACTTGACTATGATTTGATAATTCTTTTGTGACTAAACCTATTAATTTCTATTAATTGATTTAATTATAGTTTCACAATCTTCTGACCCGTTACAAACGGCTTTATCAAATCTACAACAGCAGCTTACAAGAACAATGCAGCAGGAAATGCAGGCAACTGAACAAAGAATTCGGAACTATCAAGAAGAACAATACTTGCAGCTAGAAGAGTTCCGTGAGAAAGCCCACAATGACTATAATGCTTTAGCAGGGTAAATATAATATTTTTTTCAATATTTTTTCATATTTCTTTTTGAGAAAATGTTATAATAATAGAATAAGTAATAGCATTCTTTTAAAATTTGTTTGCCTATTATAGTAGTTGAAAGCTATTCTTCTTCACTTAAGATTCTTCAACACTTAATGATTTTCTGGTAAATATTAAAGGAAAGCTAGAGAAAAATGTATCATATTTTATTATTTCTAGGACAATAATGCTGCCCACAAATCAGTCAACAATGGCCATAGTCAACATGTCTAGTCAACAAATTGGTAAAGATAAACCAAAAATAGAACTTACTGCAGCAATCTCACCACCGTTAGCAACAAATTCTAGTAGCACTAATAGTAGCATTGGAATTTCACCAGTTAGATCTTCTGAAATGTTATCATCTGATTTGGATATCCAGAGCAGAACATCAGGAGAAACTAGATCTGTGAGTCTATTTCATGTATTTAAATATTTTGTATTATAGTCCATTTTATAGGTTTTTTTGTATAAATTTATTTACTGCAAGTCAAACAGTATTATGGTGGACTATTATTCGAGATTAAAAAAAGAGAAAATTTATATTTTTAGGGCATTCAATAAAATGATTTTTTCAATAAAATTTAATAAAAAGTTTTCAATGTTTTGTCATTTTACTGTATATGATTTATTTACGAATTCATAGAAACAAACAGTCAATTCTCATGTTTTCATTTTGTAAATGTTATAAATGTAAAAATGACCAAATGCATAAAGAAAACTGCATTCCAAGAGCACTTATGCAGAAGTGGTTCAACATGAATATATAATTAATAAAAAAAAACTAACTTTTTTTACATTGCTAAAACAAATTTCAATGACATAATTCTTCTACTTTTAACATCGTTTCTGTTCATAGCCACATTCTTCAAGCAGGCCATTTAAATCCACCAAGTCTAATGTAGATTGTGAAGGATTATTCGACTTAGAAGGAATGGATGATGAACATGATCAAGAAGATGCTGCAGGAAATGATTCAGGTATTTGGACTGGATATTAATTAAAATTATATAATCATTATATTGCCTTCAGCTTTATGTATTTTTTATTTATGCCATATATATTTTGTTTGTAGTTGAACATTTAATTCACAAATGCATAGGTAATATTGCCAGCTAGAGATCTATTGGAATTAATATATTATGGAGATCAGATTGTTACTGCATGCCGCTGAAAGGTTTAAGGTTTATGTATCTATTAAATGATTTATGATGTTGATTTCAGATTCTTCTAATGAATCCGATGGTGGATTACATATGAATAGTGCTAGACAGGCATCAAAATCAGATCCAAATGAAGGTGTCATTGCTAGAAGTCTTCCCATAAGTGTACCTACTTATATATCTATGCATAAAGGTGGTCTAATGGACAGTGATAGTGATTCCATGGTAACAATTACTTTAATGATTATTTTCTTAAATATGAATATTACAAAAAAAGAAATTGAGAAAATGGCCAGCTATCCTTTTTATTTATAATTGCCAGAATGTGTGAATTAGCATTACCTTTTTATCTTTTTTTTTTCAATTTTTTCCCAACAGTAACATAGCATTTGTTTAAAGAGTGTATACCTTTTTTTCAGACAACTGATAGTGGAATGGATATTGCAGCTAGTATTAAAGCAATTGCAAAAAGTGTTCATGGTGATGCAGTTTTTGGCGAACTACCAAGACCACGTTTCCGAACACAAATTTAGGCTTAAATATAAACATATTTTATATCTGATCACAAAATATATTTTTAATTAACTTTTGCTGAGAAATATAGCTACTATATATTTGCTTCAGATCCTCACAAGTTTTCAATACATAATATATTTAAGAAAACTTTGATATGAATCAGTGATTTAAATACCTATTAAATGTGTGCGTGTTTTGAAATAAAAACATTTTATTATATTAATGATTTTGCATAAAATTCTTTTATTCATAACTTAAAAAGTATAAAACAATAAATCTCACTAACTACTTAAATTAATTATTTACATTTTGAACAGATTCATTTGTTTGACCGTAATCTAAAACTTCCACAATGTATTCTTTGTTATCTGTGTGCAATTTATGATCTTTATTAATTGGATATTTTCGAAGGTAAAAGCATTTTGTGCACCTGTGATACATCATTTTGTCTTTTTTGCTTACAGAAACTTTACAAGTTTGTCCTATTATTAAAGGTAATCGGCATCGGCGGCAAAGAGTTCTCTTTACATGAGGATCTCTGAAATATAATGTAAATTGAAAAATGAAAATTGGTATCAGTAGTACAAATTGCAAAAGTGGATTAAATAATACATCGAGTTTGATAGTTATTTCAGTAAAGCATACAAATAGTAAAGTAATGAGTATTACTTTTTTATTTTTACTGACTTTACTTGAATTATATTGAATGATTTAGAATATTAATTGTAAATTTTTTTTATAGACAATATGCAATTATTCGTTAATTATTATTGTATGCAAAATAGATTTGTAGGGTTAAGTTCTATAAGTGTGCAATACGGTTGAAATTGATATTAATTTCTAATGAAATATTACTTACATTCTAAGAACACCTCTTTTAGCAATGTTCATCATTAAATTTCCATAATAAGCTGATGCAACTGGACTAAAATTTAAAACTCTTTGACTAATCTATAAGGAATATTATTTAGTTATTTAGTGATTTTGTGAATATTGCAATTAATGTCATGGGGAATTAAAACATTTACCTGGTGCAAGTAATTCATACGTTCAAAACTCTCCTTTCCAGCACAAGATTTTATTTTATTTGAAGCTTGTTTACTCATTTTTCCTATGATACTGGTTTTTAAAATCTAATTTTCGAATTGTCAAAATTGAAATCTTTGAAAGAGTGTCTGATCACAGTAATTTTTGACACTTTTGAAAATGCGCTGTGAAGTTTGCTACACTAACATCAGGAGTGTTTCACTTTTGCGTTCGTTTAATTTCGCATATGTTCGTTAAGTGCAATAATAAAATAAACCTGAACACGTGAAAATATGATAAAGACTGATTTTGTTGAAGCATTCGTTTGCACGCATTTTCTCAAACTAATTAATATTGATTAAAGATTTTATTACTACATATAAAATGATCTGATGCTGAAGTTTATAATTAGAAGAGATTACCTAACTAATTAGAAGTGATTAGTATTTAATTAATTTGTAATTAAATTTTAATCAAATATATTTTGAGCGGGATAACCAAGTTCATTATGCTAAAATATGGCAACTTATTTTTTTTTTCATTACCATGGTTACGAACACATAAAAGGAATGGAACACATGTCAGATGGAACAAGCTATTCTGTTTTGTTTACATTTATTTGACGTTTCAAAATTCAACGGTATGACAAGAAACCACAAACTTAAATAATTTTATTACTACAAACGAATTTGGTTACTTCCAAAAATTAACTGCTTCCCTTCAATCAAATATGGAATAATTTATAAACAAGAAAAATATAAAAAATAAGAAATGGATCATCACGCAACGTTAAATGAAATTGATAGTCTTTCAATGGGTGAACTGCAAAGGCAATTGGTGACTTGGGTGGAAGAAAAAGGATTATTAAATGAACTGAGAGCTTATCTGAGGAAAAAAATGATATTTTTACTGAAAGATACGATATTAGGTAAAGACAATAACAATCATTTAAATATGCTTTCACAAATATTGTTCTTTTCCTGACAGAACCATATTAAAAATAAAATTTGCAAATCTGACATATTTTTTTGTTCTTTTTATATTATTATTATTGTGTTTATATTTTATTTTTTTTATTTAACTCTTAAAATATTCTTATTCGTGATTACAAAACTTTTATTATTTTCTCCCACCATGCCTAATCTTTACGATCCAAGATCGATTTTAGTTTAATTCTGAATAGTTCAAATACTTACATATGACTATAATAATATAGGATGTTATATAGTTAATTTATACTTTAGTTTATATGGCAATTATCTTTGATACTGACTAAATTAATATATGACCATCTTTGAAACACAAACACATATTGCAATTCAAATTAATCGTTTCATGCTTCTGCTACTATATCTAATTGCAGTATTTTAAAAAAGCTTAAAAAAATTTTGAATTTGATCAATCTCAGTTAGATAGTTTCCATAAATAGTCTAGTCATTTTTTAAAAAAGCAATAATTAGCTTTGATCATGACAATAATACAATTATTTTATGTTTCCAGATCAGAAGACCTCAATAGTTGATCAAATATGTGTAACGCCTAAACTCCAAGCATTAGCATTGCTAGTTGCTGAATATCTGTTATCGCAAAAATTGTTTTATTCTTTGTCAGTCTTTAGTACCGAAGTTCCAACTATTACACATGTAAATAAATTTTGCCAACAAATTCAGAATGCAAATGACATTAATGAGAACTCTCCAAAGCTCGATTCAAATGAAATAACACGTATATTGGAAGCAGTTGGTAAATAATTTACTACAATATTTGAAAATCTATTTTATATAATATCGGTAGTATTCATTTTTTAGTCTGCAGCTGAATAATTTAAGCTTTTATATAATGTTATTTGTCAGATAACTCTATTTAAATAGTCTTAATTATGAAGATCATTTAATGCTTATAAGTAATAACAAATGAAGAATGTACATACTGTTTATCACTTAACCCGTCTTAGTTAAATTTCATTTCCAAATTTCAGGTATTTCTGGACATAGTGAACTTGTTAATAATATAATGCTATCATATACAAATGCTACTGACAGAAAAGAATCACTCATAGGAAGCATTTTGGAAAATATTTCTACGGCAGTTGATAAATTATCTGAAAAAAATGTTGAAAAATTGACTCAAGGCACAAATACTGATGAATTTTTAGAAGGAAAAAGAACTATTAACTCTATAGCAGACCTAAACTTGTTATTCGAGGATTATCATTTGAAACAGGTGCAGTTTTAAGTTTTATGCTTTGCTTTCAAAGATCTGTTCATATTCAGATTTATTTAAAGGCCTTTTATATAACTGAAATTGTGCTGAAGCTCTTATAATTTATTTTAACTTAATTAACTATTTAAAAATTATCTTTTAGCATCAATCTGCCGTCTTTATGTTTATTGATAAAGAACATGCTAGAATAAAATCTGAGGAAAAAGCAAAGTATAAAAGTAAATTATACAAACACCAAAAAACACTATTTCAAGAAGTGAAAACCAGAGAAGAATATGTAGGTTCAAGTATAACTTTATCTTAAATACTAAAATAAACATAACTAATATCATATTTATAGGTGCTTAGAAAATTAAATGAAGCTGAAGTTCGGTTAGTAACACAAAAACAGCAAATCGAAGCTAATTTAAAACGCAAACAAAATCATTTACAGGAATTAGCTGATGAATTAGGACATATTCACAACCAACTTTCAAGACGTGAGGAGATTCTTAGTGTAAGAGAATTTTTATAGTGTCATTTGTATAATATAATTATTCGATGATTCATTTTATTTTGTATTATCAGTCCTTAAAACAAGAAGCTATATCAGCGCTAAAGGAAAAGCCAAGCATGAATATTTGTGATCAATGTAAAAGTTGTGACCATTTGAAAAAGCAAGAAGTAACAAAATCAGCTGGTCAAAATATAAGGTAATAATTTTATTAATATACACATATTATGCAATAATAATTTCAGGAACTCATATTTGAATTAATATATTACAACTTTTAATAATAAAATATAAAATCTGCGACCTACATTTAAAGAATTTCATAGTTATAAAATACAGTATGCATTTATGAAAAGCTTTAATTTATCAATAAATAAATGTGAGTAAACCCAATAAAATAAAAATTTATATTAGTTTCGATATCAGATTTGTCCCATCATCCAGCAAACCAGGAGAAAAAATTAAGAGTAAAAACAAACTAATGCAATTAATTATTTAAAAAAAAACTTGTAGGAACAGCAAATAAGTACATTAAAACAACCATTGTAAATCTATTAAACTACTTAAAATTATTTGTAGAAAATTCTAAAAATTTTAAATGATTTTAAATATTATTATAGTTTTACAACGGTCGTTTCAATGTGCTTATTTGTTGTTCCTACAATTAGGATTACAGTTTTTTTAAGTACTTAATCATATTAGTTTGTTTTCATTCTTAGTTTTTTCACCTAGTTTCCTAAACAAGGAGACACATCTGGTCACGAAACATATAAACTGAAATAAATTTTCATTTTATTTTGATGCATTAACTGTTTTTACCTTACATCAATGAATCGATAAATATATATTGATTGATTGATTGGTATATTGATACAGTCATTAACTAACAAATTTGTTTAAATATAAAAAAACTGCCTATCATGAGATCATTAATAGAAGGAATTATTAAAACTGAAAAACACATCAAATTGTTACACTCAGTAAATCAGGATAAATAATTCACAAGCAATAATTCTGAGCCTGACTGAAAATCGTGGACCTTGTAATATATTTTATGGTCTATTTTGAAAATTTTTTGGTCTAATTATTATTATAGCAATTATTTATATTCATATTATTTTATGTCATTTGCACTTTTATTAAATTAGTTTCAAAAGAAAAATTACTTTTCAAATATTTTCAACTTTTTAGAAACTAATAAATAAGTATAAATAGCATGATAAAAGATTTTCAGCAAGGCTCGCAAATATATAATTTTGGATTCACACACATTCTACATCCAATTCACACCATTTCTTGAATTAATTTAATTTTTTTAGTTTTTATTATATATTTTATTATGAAAATATTTCTTTTCTGCTATTTTCTATTATACATGCTTAACATAAAACCTAAAATTGAAACATCTCTTAGTTCAGAAATTTAAAATAAATAACATATTTATATTTATATATATATATATATATATATATATATATATATATAAGTATATAATTTATGGATCACTTAAAAAAGTCAGTAATTCTTGTTTGTTTGGATTCTGCTAAACTATGCAACATATCTTGTTTCAGACATTCAAGATTTTGTAGTTTCGTTCTATCAATATCTTTTTGTAATTCTGTCCATTTATAAACAATTTCTAAAGCGTTCAAAGCGTCTTTCGTAGTAGGTATTTCAACTTCATTTATGATATTGCTTTCTTCATTTCTTTCTACATCATCTTCCGCAGGATAAAATTCTGTTTCATTGTCATCATAAATTTCAGTATGTCCTTCTTCTTTTATATATATCTCGTTTTGTCCTTCTTCTTTGATATAAATTGACAACAAGTCATGAAAATTTGATTCATTTTTAGTATCTTCTTTATTGATTTCGTCTTCATGAGTTGAGTTTTGTGAAATACCATGTCTTCTTCGAAAACGCCAAAGCCAACCATGTGAAGCTTTAAATTTACCTTCTAAATTCAAAGTATTATGAATTTGTTCTGCCTGCGACATCAACATAGGTCCAGTTACATGTTCGCCATTCTTTTTCTTTTCAATGAACCATTTATATAAATATTTATCTAAAATTACATGATTTCCTAGTCGAACCTTTTTACGTTTAAGTGTTGAATTGTCATCTAATTCATTGACAAACGAAGTCAGTTTAATTTCATCATTCATCCAACCTCTTATGGTGCCTTCAGGAATTCCATATTCTCTACTTATTGAGGCTTTGGTGGCTCCACTTTTACTTTATTGATGAATTCAAGTTTTTCTTCATACTGTACGCGTTTCTTTTATGCATGATGAAATTATGCAACGATTTGATACAAATTTAAAAATAAGATTAATATTAATAAATATTGATCTAAAATTTACCGC